GGTTCACTTATGACGTCATAGGTCAGTGACCTGACCTGACCCAAAAATGCGGTTGGTGTCAAAAGATGCGGCTTGGATCAAAGGTCAGGTATGCCAAGTTTCAGCTCTCTATCGCCAGCGTGTTCGGAGCTATCGCGAAAAAACCCTATGGGGGGGGCGGCACCCGCCCCCCCCCTCGGCCGGCGAGGGTTAAATAGCGCAAAAACGGCGGCGCTGCGCGCCGCCAAATTTTGGGTACCTTACTGGGCATCAATTTGACACCGTCACACAAAATTTCAAGTCACAGGTCACCTCAGGTCAGGAGTTATTGAGGTCAAACTGAGGTAATGTTCGAGTAAAAATGAGCAAAAAACATGACATCTTGAAACGCTCACCAATTCTACAGTTAACAAGCAATTTTAAAGTTCTTTATGTGGTTGTGTAGAGAAAAGACGGCGCTACAAAACTGCAATCTCGGATTTTCGAAATTTTGGGATTTTGACCCCCAAAAATAAAAAAAAATGATTTTTTAGAAAAACTCGAAAATTTTCAAAAATTTTCGAATTTCCAAAAAACGGAATATATGTGATAGTCCCTGCGCTCTTCGATATACATACCAAATTTTAGATCGATACCTCTTTTTTTGGCCAAGTTATAGCGAAAAAACTTAAAAATTGATGACGTCAAATTTTTGAACTCAATTTTTAGCAATTCTAGACCTCGTGGAGACCACCATTGAACTCCCCGTAACGAGCTGCATCGAATCGATACCCATTTTATGCAAAAATATCAACTTTGAAATTTGACCTAATTTGACCTGACCTTGACCTGACCCTGACCTGACCTTGACCAAAACGTGACCTAAGCTGGCCCTGAAGTCTGTCTGACCCACATAATCGCATTTGTCATGTAAAATGGACCATAAAACATGTATCACACGACACTTTCATATTGTGACCCCACCAGTGACCTGACCTCTGTGACCTGACCTGGTATCAGTGACCTCAAATAGCAAAATATGTGTTTGTAGATCATTTCCCCATCGATGATTTTCAATGAAATGCATTTTACTCGATTTTACAACGCATTTCTTGAAATGCCTGTAAACGGTGAAAATTAGACCTTTGACCTGACCTGTGACGTCATCGGTTTGACCTAGGTCAATGAAATTGTGTCACAAGGTAGTTCCCCGTTGGTGCTATCCAACACCGTTTACCGCTTGTCGCTATGTTGCGTGGTTCTCGAGATCTGAGGGGGTGGGCAAAATGCCCCCCCCCCATCAGACCGCGTTGCTCGGCAGACCCCATCTGGGCGCGGCTTAGTGGTTCCCGAGTTAGCCGTTGGCAGTTTCCAAATTGTTGAAATGGACTAAATTTTACCTTTGATGACCTCTGGTGACATAACCTTTGAACTGACCTAAAAATTGAAACGAAGTCATTCCGTCATTATTTTTGACGCTCTTTCGATTTCCCCTTACTGCGTGTCGCTACGTGGCCCAGGAGCCGAGTTAGAGGGGGGACGTGAAAACGCCCCCCCCCCCAGCACGACACGGAAAGCGCAGGCCACCAGCACGCCGCGGGTTAACTAATAGATAATGGAGAGGTCGCAAAATTGACCTGGCCATGTCAATGTAGATATTTTGTCTGAGGATTACGCAAGGCGAATGTTCGGTGAGATCAGCAAGTTTCTATGGCGCTTATTCAAAGTCGACCATGCACACTCACATCATCAAAAGTCGTCTTCTATACTACGCCGGCCGAAGACATTCTTAACCCTCGCATGTGTAGGGGGGGGGGTCGGATGGACCCCTTCCCATGGTTTTTCGCAAATAACTCGCGTAAAAAGCGGCCGATCGCGACGAAACTTTCAGTACCCTCGCATTGATCAATTTTACACCTACCCTGTAAATCTCATGACCCTGACCCAAATGACCTTTGACCTGTAACCTCTTTTCCGAGACCATGTTTGGCCGGAATCGCGATTTCGCGTATGTCGGCTCGCACTAGCCGCGTGTTTGCAAGCTTTTCGTGGTTTCAAACGTTCAAACATGTGATTTGATGTTACTCCCGTGTGTGTCAAGGTCACCTGAAGGTCAGGTCAGGTCATTGACCTTTGGTGACCTCGGGTGACCTCGGTTCACTTTTTCGAGTTTTACATGTTTCTAGGCTAGTTTTTGGAGCTGAATTCGAATTTAGCAACCATTTGAACATTTACGAAGTAGTTTTGGTGACTTCGTAACATGTTACGAAGCTGTCAGAGGCGATTGACACGTACTACGAATACCCGTCACGACGCCTACTGGTTGACCTGACCTGACCTGACCCAACCTGGTCTAAATGCTTCAAGACATCATCTGTGATCAAAACTAACACGATATTCGTGATCAGCACCCCGAAAAACCCCTTAGCAGCCACACTTTACGACTTTCTAACAGGTCCTGATTTTCCCGACTTTGGGTCATTGACCTGACCTGGAAGGTCAACCAATGACCTAGGACCTTAAAATTGGGTATCATCGGCTTCCTCTCGTCACGGGCAACACGCTCGTTTTTTCCGCGAAGCTCTAGCTCGATCAGGGGCCAAACGGCAAGGGGGGGTCCAACCGACCCCCCCCCCCTACACATTAGAAGCTGGCAAACGCCGCACACATGCGAGGGTTAACCTTCGTGCCACTATATGGGACAGTCTCACGCCTCACCCATCTGGCACTCATGCAGTCATGAGTGTCTGATATTTTAAGCACGGCCACCCCGGTCGACCAGAGGCTGCAAGTGCAGTCCACAGGTGGCTTTGGATCAGTGAGTGAATCTGTATATTTTTTTTTGCAAAGAATACAGATTGTGCCTATCGATGAACGTATATTTTACCGTTTCGAATTCGCATGGGTGTGTGTTTTGAGAATAACATGTCCGTAGCCTGAGCTCGTTTCCTATATCGCGCTAAATATGCATAAAGATCAAGGCTTTTGATAAAAGAAACACCGGGCTGCAAATTGCATTAATTGGATTTTATGAAAAATCAGCGAAACCTGGTACTTAGGTACTCGTATACTCGTATTTTGCAACACCTAGTAAATCATGCATGAATATGACGTCACATTTTAGATTGACCCCCTGTCACTAGCTCACAATGGCGCCCCTCTCAAGGGAAAAGTCGCCCCCTCGAGCACCATGGCCCCCCTTTCGCTGATTTCTGGCTACGCCACTGGACCTGACCTTGACCTTGACCTCAAGGCTCAAACTTTAAATTAAGTACATGTTTTTAGTTGTTCGTGATGAGATCTTTCGATTGGCGTTTGAATTTTCCAAATCGGACCATTAGTTCGGGAGATAACAGGGGGGGGGGGTAAAATTTACCCACCCCCAGCCCTGCGCGGGGCTGGGGTCTCCAGCCGAACGCGGAGACCCCAGCCCCGTTAAAGTACTCATCTGAAGCGTCTCGTCGCGTTCTTTCGTTTGCCGCCTCGTGCGTTTCGCTGCGTCTATTGGTTCTCGAGTTATCGTCTGGGGGCGTTTAACGCCCCCCCCCCAGCAAACGGTGGGTGGCGATATACCCCAGCAACTGCCGGGTTAAGTCTCATGTGAGTAGCTGATGCCTGGCTACAATTAGCCCGTAACCGTTTTACTAAATCTATTACCGGGTCTCCTTTTAACCCTATTGGTGGCTGGCTCCTGGCTACCCCCATTAGTGGCAGGGGGGCTGTTTACGACCCCCCCCCTCTGATATCTCGAGATCTAACGGGCCGATTTTCAAAATTCAAACGGCATTCGATTTCGCTCAACGTGATCTACATTTCTAAAAAATTAAAATTAAAAAATGTCAATAGGGGGGGGGGGGGTAGAGGGGGTAAAAACGGGCAAATTGCAGATACATTTAGACTGTTTATCACAGCCAGGTTTCTGAACCAATCTTAACGCAACTCTTGCCGATCGATAGAAAATGAACCAGGAATTCACATGGATCCTAAAAATATGCATTTTCAAAAATCATATGGCGGATACAGATCATTGAGATTGGGGGTACACAAAAAGTATAGTAAATAAGGTTTTTGTTGGTACTGTTTCTAAAAAGGGTGGTAATGTTCTTGTTATATTACAATTTTCTTATGAGAGAACGACTACAATTGTATTGGTCATGCAAAGGCGGTGTCAGGGCACCTATGTTGGGAGGTAAAACATAACCCCCCTTTTTGGACTCCTGGATCCGCCTATTATAGCAAAAACGTGTCAAAAGAGGATGCACAATAACTTTGTATATGTTATCACATGATACCTTTCATTCACTGTTCGTAAAACTGGTGCATACAGTTATAATACATCAGCATCGTGATCTTCGCCCAAATGACTCGCTTCACGAATAGGACCCCCCAATTCCCAGTGCTCTGGAGCCGCCCCTGGTACAGTTATGAACTTGAAATTTTCAGGGAGTGTGTCCAATTTAGTTTTAGGAAAAGTCAGAAAATTTCAGCATCGTAGCTTCAGCGGTTTCGGAGATATTCCCGAAAAACCTGAGGGGTGGATGAAAACAACCCCCCCTGCCACTAATAGGGTTAAGGATTCTTGCATTAGTCGACAAACACGGTTGTTGACATTAATCACAACCTTTATTTTTTGCAAGATCCTCCAGAAATTATGTCAAATTAATAGATATTTAATACTTTATTGTAATGAAATATACGACAATCGCATTAAATAGCAAATAATTTATTTGCTTAAATGTATTTAGGTAGTTTGCATTTGTTTATACTTATCATAAAATATTCCACATAAAGTTCCTGAAAATACCATGTAGAAAATCGCACCGTTGAATGGCCCTGTAAACTGGTAAACAAGCGAAAGCCGCTGTAGGAATGTCGTCCGCGGAATTCCGTGTTTGCGGAATCCCGCCCACCGAATGGCCTAGTGTGCGGCCGACTTGAGGTCGGAAATTCAATAAATTTCACCTCGCTTTTTTAGCGAAAGCACCTCGGGCCTGAAGGCCCTCGGAGCTTTTGCTAACAAAAGAAGCTCAATAAAATCTAACCTGGTAAAACAGTGACGTCTTCTCCGGCTCCCAGAAGGTCGGATGCCCGGCCACGTACTTGCTTGATGGTCTGTCACCTGGTGCTTCCTCAATCATTTCTTTGATCAGGCTCCTCACGGAGCCCTTCGGTACGCCATCCAGGCTGAAAAGGATTTTTTAGAACATCACCCGTCCCGTAGTGGGGAACAACCTCGATGTCTCGCCGATTGTGACACCTTCCAACTAACACGTAATAATACAAGCATTTTCTTACTTTCCAACATGGGACCGATGACGAGAATTGTTATCTCTAAGACATTAACCCTCGCCCATGTAGGGGGGGGGGGGGGTTGGTGCAACCCCCCCCCCTGAGGTTTTTCTTAGCTACACGACGAACCGTTTCAGATAGCCTGCTCAAATTTTTAGTACCCTATGGGGCATCCTTTGCGCAACTTTTGGTATTTTATTTTGTCAAGGTCATGTCAGGTCACGGAGTTATGACTAGAGATTGCAATCCCGGAACGTTTTGCCTATCCCGGGATCCCGAAAGTTTTTATTTCGGGATCCCGGGATCCCGGGATCCCGGTCTTGTCACTGTAGGTCGTAAGAATAATTTCCTACTGACATATTTTGCGTCTTTTAGCTTACCACAAACAAAGAGGCAACCAAAAGTCATCCCTAGACCATTTCATTTGCAATAAACACGATTATATTTGCGAAAGAAACGTTTCGATTTGATTAGCATTACCCCAATTGGCCTTAACCCGCGCACCGACGGGGGTCTGCGCCAACTTCGCACCGACGGGGGGGCGGATGACCGCCCCCCCCTGAGATCTCGAGAACGAAACAAGATAGCGACAAGCGGTAAACGGCATCGGATACGCACGGTCAAGATCTACAATTTTTACAAAGGTCATTTTCAGGTCAGGTCAAAGATGACGTCACAGGGGTCGAAAAAGTCAAAATGGCGGCGCTAGATATGGAGAGAGTTTTTCTCGAATAACTTTCGAATTAGTCAAGATAGGAACAAACTAAGGGCATCATCGTGATCCTCTCGTCAATCCGCATAGAATGATATATATGTTGACCTCGAAAGGTCAAGGTCAAAGGTTGACCTCAGGTCACGTGACCTCGAGGTCATCATGTATATCATTCGATGCGTCTTGACGAGCTGAACACAATGAGACCATCCAAGCGTCTGTATCTTGTTCCTGTACGGAGTTATTGGCCAAAAACCTTTGGTGACCTTTGATGACGTCACATGACCTCACAGCTGCCCAACAGCAAAACAGACCTAAAGGTAGTGAAGGTTGATCGTATATGAAGTTGTGTATGGTATATGGGGCCATTCCGACCCGTTTTAGTGGTAAAAACAGGGAGTTGATTTTTCCCCCATTGACTTATAATGGGGAGGTCGCGAAATTGACCTGACCTTAGGTCACCGATATCAAAATTCCGAGATATACAAATTGTAGCTACTAATGACCTCATAACATCCTGCGACTTTCAAAGGCCTCCGACATCTACTGTAGCTCTGGCACGGTAAAAAAGTTGCAAAAAAGTGACTTGAGGTTGGGTCATTCAAAGTGACCTGGTGACCTGACCTTAAAAGGTAGGAGGTTCAAACTTGCACACCACGTGTAAAATTGATAAAGGTATAGTCATACCAAATTTCGCGGCGCTACGCGCCGCGGTTTTCCCGCTATTCGTGAAAAACCTCAGGGGGGCGGATATCCGCCCCCCCCGTCGGTGCGCGGGTTAATAAAACTGTGCGCCGACCAGTGCGTCTTCTATCTCGTCATTCAGACGGGTTCCAGCACATCCACGCCTCACTCACTTTTCGTCTACGTTACTCGTAGTTAGCGCGACAGTTTTAAGCCATTGCAGGTAGGTCTGACTATTTTAAAACTCGCGACCAGTGTACGCCAAATTTGGCAGCTCCCTATTTCACAATGTTTTCAGGACGTCGCTTGGTCACTTCACCTCCCGGTTCCGCTCATTCATCACTAATGTCTCTCAGACTGCTCCAAAGTCGCTTTGAGGGCAGAGTCACTGACTGGGAGAGCTCCACTCTATGACTCTACCGTCTTCAACGTTTGAATCAGTGAGCTCTGCCGTCACTTGCGTGACATCTGTGACATCTTTCTGCGACACGAGCTCAAACACTGTCTTGATGACCTCTTTTGTTCCGGCCACGGACGGATAAGTCAGAATCGCTGAACGGTCCGTGATCCTGATAGAGATGTTGCTGCACTGATGCTGCAATTTTTTTGGCGTTCGGGACCCTTTTTCGTACACATTTAAAACCCGCGCCCCGTAGGGGGGGCCGAAACGGCCCCCCTGTCTTTTTCGGTCAATATCTCCCAAACGGCTGGAGATATCGCCACCAAACTTTCAGGACCTCTCCGGGCATCAATTTTACACATTGTGACCAAAACTTTTCCCAGAGGCTATGATAGGTTTGCCACAAATGACGTCAGAGTGACGTCATGTTCTGTCATTTTCGACCGAAAAAAGAACTTCGCGAGAAGACCTGTCAGGCCTACAGCTTTGAAGATACAGAAAAATGATCAAGACATAAAAGGTGTAGAATTGACAGGGCTACAAAACTGCCATCTCGGATTTTTGAAATTTTTGAGTTTTGACCCCCAAAATTCAAAAAAGTATTTTTTTTTGGATATATTAGCCAAAAAATCCAAAAAGTTTTTTGAGTTTCGAAAAAACCGGAATATATGTGATAGTACCTACCGTCTTCTATCTACATACCAAATTTAAGATCGATAACTCGTTTTTTGGCCAAGTTATAGCGAAAAAACTGTTCAAAAATGATGACGTCAAATTTTCAAACTCAATTTTTTGGCAATTCTAGACCTCGTAGAGCAAAACAAAGACCACCATTAGACTCCCCGTGACGAGCTGCATCGAATCGATACCCATTTTATGCAAAAATATCAACTTTGAAATTTGACCTAATTTGACCTGACCTTGACCTGACCTTCACCAAAACGTGACCTAGGCTGGCCCCAAAGGCTGCCTAACCCACATAATCGCATTTGTCATGTAAAATGGACCATAAAACATGTATCACACGACACTTTCATATTGTGACCCCCGGTGACCTGACCTCGCTGTGACGTGACCTGGTATCAGTGACCTCAGATAGCAAAGTATGTGTTTGACGAACAATGTACCATCGATGGTTTTCAATAAATTACCAATTTACTCGCTTTCATAGCACATTTCTTGAATTGCCTGTGAACGGTGAAAATCTGACCTTTGACCTGACCTGTGACGTCATCGGTTTGACCTAGGTCAATGAAATTTGGTCACAAGGTAGTTCCCGGGTGGGGCCATCGAACACCGTTTGAATTTTGAAAATCGGCCGGTAACTTTCCGAGATCTTAGGGGGGGGGGGCGAAAAGGCCCCCCCCCCCTACGGGTGGTAGGGTCCGCCGGTAGCCCTACGGGGCGCGGGTTAAGCGGCTTGTCCGCTGTGGGTGATACCCAGGAGCTACCATCACGGTCAACTGTGGACGGCCGATACGGGATGCCAGCTAAATAGTTTCTCTGCATTATCATCATCATCATCAATTTATTACAACATCCTTGACGGACAAACACATATACATGTACACATACACATACACACCTATACCTACATACACTACGAGTACGATCAGTTTTTCAGCCGACGGGGCCTATGAATGGCCTTGATTGAGAGCATCGCATGTCAACAGTCTGACGAGGCTCCAGGCACAGGTATCGTTCTGGGCCATCAGCCATCGTAGTGAGTCGGTTAAGCCACAGGGGACAGTAGGACATGTTACCCACTCGGGCGATACGTGGCCGCCAGCGATCCTGACAATGCTACCAAGGCTTCCATCACACAAGGCGAGCACATGGTTTACAATCGAGCCAGTATGTCTCGTAGAACTTGTGTTCAGAAAAATTCGCGCTAATGCACTGAACAAAACGTCACGGAGACGATGGTCCCCATCAAAAGCATCCCTGAGGGCAGCAAATTGCGAGCGGCGCAACAGTGCCTGAACATTGGGGATGTTAAGTGCTTTCATCAGCGCTGAGTGATGAGCACTTCGCGGTAGCCTTAACGCTGCCTTAAGCGCAGTTGCCTGCCACCGTTCTAAGCGTTCGATGTCCGCGGAACTCAAAAGGGAAATAGAGCAGCCATAGAGCATGGTTGGGGACACAATCGCACGCCAGAGAAAGGCTTTGTCTGCCCCCGGTAGAAACGGACTGAACATGCCAGCTGGGGACAGACCGAAAAATGCACCCCTGCCCCTACGGATTCGTTCGGCTACCTGGTTGGCGCCCTGTAACTGCGAGCTCAGTTGGACTCCCAGGTGCTCTGTCTTTGGTTGGTATCGGAGAGTTTGCCCACACAGATGCCAGCGGGGTATTTGCGTAATGAGCTCTGCGCCGAAAATGAAGCTGTGACTTTTTGTCATGTTAGGCGAATTGTGCACAAAATCTATCCTCCACTTGCTCGCGAAGCTAGTAACAACATTCAGCATGCCTTGCAAATCACTCGTGTTACCGGACATCAGAAGAATATCGTCAGCGTATGCCACTACTGGGATATGGTGACCGAACAGGATGGGGCCGAGGCGAGAGTCATCAAGCTCCTGAATCAGTGGCATGAAGAACATGTTTGTTAAGCATGGTGACAAGAGAGCTCCCTGTCTTACCCCACGACGAATTGCGAAAGCATCTGACCACGCTCCAGCAAAGCGCACTCGGGAAGTTAAATGAGCGTACCATTTAGTCAAGAGGGCCCAGCTTCTCTTAGGTAAGTGTTCGTGTGCACGGAGCAGAACAGCTGAGTGCCAGAGCCGGTCGAAGCACTTCCGAGCGTCTAAATTGGCCACAAACAATGGAACCCTATGCGACAGAAAATGCTGCGCTGTCTCATGAATAAGGATAGACGCCTCCCGTGTGCCCCTGTGACCAAGAAAGCCAAATTGCAGCCCTGAAGGTCTAAATGATTTGCTGATATCATCCAGCAAAATAAGCTCTAACAGCTTCGATAATGTACCTACTAATGCGATTGGTCGGTAGTTATCGGCGCAATTGGAATCCAGTCCCCTTTTCTTCATGATTGGCACCACCGCACTGTACGTGAAGCTATCAGGGACTCGCATCTCG